TTCAATTTCATTGTTGCAGCTCCGCCGCCAATAATCGTAGCCACCCCTTGAAATAAAAAAAACTGAAAAAAACTGAAAAAATAGTATCAAACACAAACGGGTGCTTTCTAAAATGTTAAAACAAATTCGATTCGCTTTGATTGAAATTGTGAGGCATTTAAAATTGTTTCGGGTCACAATTATACGAATGCCCCTCCGATTTCCCCGCCTGATTTTCCACTATTTCGATGCACTTTCGTTTTCCGCTTCTATACGCTGCAATTACGCCGCAATTACAGTTATGTTTATGTTTCGGATTTTCAGCTGTCTCGCCAACTAAAAAACTGAAAACTAAATCTACAATTGCCAGCGAAATGAACTGCTAGCCACGTTACGTACGTGCTGCTTAGAAACTCAGCAAAAAAATGAGCAGCAATGGTGGATTTTCAAGCGTTTTTCCTGTTGGGAAAGCGTTCGCTGGCTTAGAAAACGAATTATGCAGCAATAACTTAATTGAGCTTTCATTGCGCCGCACGTACAGATTTTGGTCATGTGTCAATTCCCGCGCCTCTTGTTTGCATAATGTTCACGGTGTTCAACTTGAACTGCGCCCCAAGTCAGCGGGTGGCACTGTAACTACCACTATAACTACCACCTTAACTGCTACCACCCACCGATTGGCGATATGAGATTGCAGATAGGTGTTCAATGCTCTGCACACCGCAAGAAATTGGAGGGGCTTATAATGCAAAGTCGATTATAGACATTCAATTTGGCTGAGCCCTTCTTGATAGTATCTAAATTGCTTGAACAAGAATCGATGCGGTTTTCACTAAATTATTTATTATTGTAACTAAGTTTTTTGGCCCATCCTGTTTGCTCAAGTGTATAAAATATTTATGATGACTTTTTGTTATGTGCCTGCAACTTGCGTCATAATTTAAACCTGACCAGAGCCACCAACATTACGACAGCGCAGCGAATTGAAAATACTCGCAGGCATAGGATTTTCATTTGGCTTAAAATCCAGTGTTTTGGGGTTACATAATGATGAGCCGCGGCTGCGACTGCGCCTGATTATTTTCCCTACAACTTCGGGCGCATCTGTGATCTAATAAAGCATAACCGAGTCGAGGCTCCCCGGCCATTCTCTATTCTCCATTCTCCATTTGCCGGCCATTAGGCAGCTGAAACTGTTTCGCATTATGCTCGAAATGGGTTAAGTGGCTTTCAATTTAGACACAGCGAGCTGAAAAAATGCGAACAATATTCAATTCCATTTGCCCTGACTTGTTGAATGAGTGAATGAGGTTGGCAAATGCGGCGGGAGGTTGTACTCGAGATATTCGGGTGTTTCGGCCACGCCCTTTGTGAAAACAAAACGCTTCCGGCAGTCAGTTCATATGTATATTAAAACCATTGATATTGAGTCACTTTCATGCTCAAATGCAATGCGCCATCCGAAGCCTATTTGTCATTCAATTACAATCTCAGCCGGCTGTTTTCCTTCCATTTCGATTTCGATTCCGATTTTCATTTTCAATTCAAGTTGAAGCGCAATTGCGATTGCAGAAGTTGCATGATCGGAAGACATGACGGCTTACGTAAATTCTGATATTGCCATGCCGCCGTGTGTGTGTTTTCAACCTTTCCAAAGGTAAACAAAAGCAACTCCAGTCGGAAGGCGAATGTTACGTTTTCGAAACGCCTCAAATGACAATGGCTGGATTTATTATCGTTCAGCGATCCGCAGCTGACTCAGCCAGTCAGTCAGCCAGTCGCTGGTCGATGCTCGATCGCAATGCTCTATAGCCCATATACACGCGGTTCAGGCCACATTCCCCAATATACATATGTATATCCCCAAGTGTCAGCAATGCCGGGCGTTAGCGCCTTTTTGTGCCCCAATGCAACAATGAGGGCTGCCTAATCCGCAGACAATTAACCCAAATTGCGCTGCTCAAGTCGACTTGGCACGTGGGCAAACTCTCGCGTATTCTTGCGAAAATTGCAGCAGCCGGGACTACACTGAAAATAACATTACCACTGCAAATGCAGTAGTGGCTCACACAATTTCAAGTAGTTTCCAGTAATTAACAGTACATTATTAGCTTTATTGCAAATGCATAGGTTCTCATTGTACATATATTTGGTTTTCACTGCAATTTGCAGCATTTAATTTTATTTCTACATATATATAAATTCTCTAAGTATATCCCCGTGAATTACTTTCCAGTGCAAGGGGCATAATTGCACAAGACGACGTCGTCATTGGCGGCAGCTGGCAACAAACGACGTTCGGTCGACTGGCATTTGAAAGTCTTTGACTTGCTGCAGTTAGCTCAAACAAAATAAAAACTGCCTCGGCCCAAGGTAATGGGCAATTAGCTGCAGCAACCTTCTGGGCCAAAAACCAACAGCCAACATGGGCTAGTCAAACAAATGAGGCAAGCGGACAGCAAACTCCGGGATACGGCAATTTGCCGGCCAGTCGTACAGACACAGACACAGATGCAGTTTCAGATACAGATGCAGATACAGATATAGATAGCCTTTAATTGGGTTTAACTGGCTGTCAATGGCGGTAGCCATCCGACGGGGGGTGCCACGCAGGGGGTGTGCGCTGGACATCAACTCTGCCAGGGGATGCACGATGATCGGGCCATGAGCGATCAGAGTTATGGGTCAGAGTTTTCCAGCAGGGGTGAAACTCACCAATGAAAACTCGTAAATTAAGTCGCAATTCGAACGCATTCCATATGGGCTTTCTGTGCCATTGTCCTAGCTGTGAAAGGTTAAAGCTGGTAATATAACCAGTTGTTGGGTATCACTTCTAGTGTTGATAAAGTTATACAATTTCTTTTTATGCAAATATTTGTACAAATATACCGCAATCGATAGCCCATAATTAGCCCCACTTCCGACACATTCTCGACTCCAAATCGAATTTCAAAACACGGTTCGATCGGATTGCCAAAAAACTGCGCTCCATTCGACTCATTTCGCCACCGAAGGCGAAACGCAGAATATTTACGACTATCTGATGAATTCGCATGCGTCTCAGGTTTCCGGCACGCGATCACGCATTTCCAAGTGATCGGATGCGAGGATCGCAGGGGAAAGTTCCACACGCTTGTCTGATAAACACATAATGAGGCTGATCGCAAGGAGGGAGTGACATATTTCGGCGCATGTGCGCCGCCAGCTCCTAAAATTATCTGACGGATACACGTACTGCATCACTCGATGCTTGTTTACCCAACGTAATTCACCGGCCACAGCCCCTGTTCTGCCCCGCCCCTGTGGCGTGGTCATCCTTATCTGCACGCTTATCAGTGCAACTGCTCTCTTACAAACATACGACTCTGTCTGCGGAATCGTAATCATAGGTCCCCTACACCCTACACCCTACACCCTATACCCTAACCCAAAGTTGTATGCCCAGGGGCGCGGTTTTGCACACTTTCGTTGTTGTTCTGCGGCGAGGTAGCAAGGCCAGAGGGTGTCCCAGATAGCCGGCTATCTGTACGACTGGACAAGCCTATCGGTTCGGCTGGGTTCGGTCCGCATAATCTGACCGTACGGAACCGCATTTCACTCTCTGGTCAAATATTTTGGTTTCGCTTAAAATTAAAATTGGGGTCTCGCTCGGTTTCGTCAAAACCGCCGCTTAATCGCCGTCTTGGGGCGAATGACAAACAAGTTTCCACTTTCACTTGAGCACGGATGGCATGGCAGAAGACCCGATAACCCAGAACTGGTTGTGGGAAATATATCTTTAAAAATTGTTGTTAGGGCTCCGGCGGCCAGACCGCTGAGCAAACATATCGTTCTGTGGAATTTTTGCCAGAGCTTTTTACTGATAAGAGGCACCAGACCTTACTCAATACCAGGAATCGGGGTCAAGCGGCAGGAAAAACATTTCCCCGCTTTGATATGCTTTTCCAACAACGAAATTGTCATCGGTTTTCTTTAGAAGTTTTCTCTCTGAATTTACAATGAATGCTACTGGAATATTTAGCAAGATAAAAAACCGAATTTAACAAGAATAAGTAGACTCATTTTCAAAGAAGTCGGAAGTCATTAGATATGTCATTTGAAATAATTGTTCATTCATTTTTAGCAGCATCTCAGTTATAGCAATTATTCTTCCTTATTTATTTTTATAGTACTACTATCATAAAAACTCACTGCAACTTCAGATTTACACATGATTTCGATAAATCAAGTTTTTTTAAGAATAAAAACGAAATGTTTTTAAGTAGGCAAGCGGTGTTGCTGCCCCCAAAGTAGATCTCTTTATGCTGCAGATTGTGTTTCGAGTTAGACGAGTTCGACTTTGAGTCAGGCCCCTTTCCCGCCCCACTGAACTACATGTGCAAGTGCTTCATCAAGTTTTAGTATGTCCGTCATAAACACCGCATAAAGATGATGGCATTAGGTCCTAAAACCCAGCTGAAATCCCCAGCGAGGTATAAAAATCCCAGCGTGAGCTAAGCTCAAAAAGCGCAAGCCAGCAAACAAAAAACTGTAAACAGTAAAAAACCCAGTCGATTTAGAGGGGAAAACGAAGCGCTTTCGTCATCCCGACGTCATAAACCAGAAGGTATTTCTCTTAAGTCACATTTAATGGCTCTTAAATCTTAAATCAAAGTAAGATCGGATCGGCAACAGAAAGAAAAGCCAGTTTTTTTCTTTTCAACGCGATGCCAGCGAAAAAGCTCAAGATACTGGATATCACTTGTATCTTTGAGTTACGTTACGTAAATCCGCTCTTTTTCCAACCGCCCTCTCTACACACCCATCACCCGCTGCTCGAGTGAAAGAGAGCGCGGCGGCGGCGCAGTAAAGCAGAGATTAAGATACATAAACAAAACGGAACGGCAAAGCATGCGAAAGACCAGCACAAAGCAGAGGAACAAAAACAAACGTCATAAGAAACCGGAAAATGGCCAATGCCAAATGGCCGCAAGAGAGCGCAGTCGCGAAAACTGAGAGAGCGAGCCGAGTGCAAGAGCCGAACGACAGCCGAAGCAGAAGCCGAAGCAGAAGCAGAAGCCCGGCAACTTTAGCGCACAGAATCATTCTGTAAAGCGCGCGCGAACCCTTCGCACCAGCAGACCGCAGATACAAAGATACAAATATTCGCAAAACACTGAAAATTCGCAAGACCGAATATCGCAAAAAGTAACTCCAAAGCTGGCTAACCGAGTGAAAAAGCAAACAGCCCGGGCAGCCGAAAAGTGCAAGTGAAGTGCGTAGAGTGCGGAGAGTGTGGAGAGTGGAGTTCTGAGTTCTGAGTTTTACCACTGCCAACTTACCGGAGATATAAAATAAAAACAAATTAGGAACGACGGAGGCCTAGTGGCCCAAATTCAGAACGACAAATTCAGAAAGCGAAGAAGATCAAGCGAAAATTTGAATAATTAAAAATAAACACGCGCCGTGCGAGAGAGAGTGTGAGTGTGCGTGCCGCGTATCCGTCAGATACGCAAAGCAAAGCGTAAGCAAAGGCAAAACGCTGACGTATTTTCACCCGAATACCGTTATATAGCCGGCCGGCTTTTTGTGCCCAATTAACGCACATTCAACAAATTGCCCAGACGCGAAAAACAAATTGTAACATTCGGTATCGGAATATCGAATTAAAGCCCAGTTTATCACCCGTAATAAATTGTAGCGCAAAAAAATAAAACGAAAAAAAGAAACAACATAAAACCGAAAAGGAAAACCAAAACCCCAATAATATACTTACCTTTTGTCTCATTTAATTTCGCTGCGGTTCGTTCTGGTGCAGTGTAATAGAGAAAAGTTTATAAATAAATATACAATATACAAATAACTGAATGCAGATGTTTGGCATAATAAGTGTCACAATCAATTGCTGAGCGACGAGATCTTGAAAAATACGCTAAAAGGTGATTGCATAAGGATATATGGCTAAAATGCAACTGTTACCAAGTGACCTCATTCAAGGTTGCCCTCCCCCCGTTTTCCCATAGAGATTGCAATTTAACTTCGTTTCTCTATTAGCGCCCACATACTTATAATTTGTACTCTTTTTTTGCATACTCACCTGGTTAAGGTGGTTTCGTATATAAGGAGTGCTTACGGTGGTCTGTAATTAACCTTGAATCATTCGTTGAATTTGCGCTTAGTTTTTGCCCTGTGAACTGTAATTTAATTGGGTTTTCACTTCTCGGTAGTAGTTTTTAGCCTATTATCAAATCAGATTTCCAGGGATTCCGCCGCGGTATAGATACTACAATTATTGGGAAACGGTCGCCTTGCGTGACGGCTGTGGATGCAACAATGTTAGATGCAGATACCCCCAGGAATATGTGTTCCATGTCGCCGTTCTCTCAATTAGGAATCGCTCTAAAGTGCCCACACTGGGTCATTAATTTGTAATGGTATGCTCAATAAAGTTGTGCAATTTAATTGTTCAAACGGGTGACTCATGGCGATTGCTGAACAGCACCAGGCAGCCGCCAGGCGATAACAAGCTTCTGACTAACCCAAGTCCGTTCTCTTTCCCATTCCGTTCGCAGGAACCCATTGAGCTGAAGAAGCGACTGGAGGAAGTGCGTCTGCTGGAATCGCGACGCTCCGCCCGTCTGGCAGACCAGGATCGCGACACGGACTTTGCCAGACTCGCCGACATGAGTGGCGAACGCCGCAGAACCACCACACACAGTATTGAGGTGCCATCGCAGCTGACGGCGCAGCACAAGTGAGTACAGCCCCTAGTTATCCAAAGTGTAGTACGGTAGAGTTGAGATGGCAAGGAGGTCAGTAGAACCAGCTTAAGAACCGGAACTCACGGAAGATGAATCAAAATCATGATGATAGGCCCCAGGAATAGAGAACTCATGTCGAAGCATCTTATTTTTAGGAATAGAGAACATATGGCATGACCTCTTGATTTTGGGAATAGAGAACTTGTGGCGTTACCTCTTGGTTTTAGCCCATAGTAAACAACCAGAATGTCTGTTTACCTAGGCAAGAAACCGCCGCTTATTTTGCCGGTCCTACCCGGTTTTTAATAGCAATTTTATTCGTTCGTTTTGTGTGTGTTTGTGTTTCGACTTTGGCTTACGGCTTTTGCATAAATATGCAACGATTGGCGTCTGCGGAGACGGAGACTGGGCCATATCAATAATTTATAAGTGGCGACAAATTAGCGGAACCGGCCACCAAGTCACGGACATCGCCCGATCCATGTATAATATCTATAATAAAATTGTGTCTCCGTCTTGTCGGCCAGCTGCGCCCTCGACCGGCCACGCCCAGCTATTTAGCATAGACGCCGCTTTAACTGCACTTACATAAAGAGTTCTCACCGCCCCCCACCATCGCATTTCTCTGCCCGCCGCTCCACAGCCGGCTTTCACAATGCTCCATTCCACTGGGACGACAGCTGATTGCAAAATAATTCAAATTTTCAATTACTGCCCGCTCAGACGTCGCGACGACTACGTCGAACTTAAAGACGGCGGCGACGAAAAAAAAATACAAAATACAAAATACGAAACACTAACGTTTGATTACGTTGGCTGGCCGTCGGGGGTGGAGGGACGGGGCCGGGTGTCATAGTCTAACTGAACGCTCTAATCAAATGGGGAACTTTTATTTTGACCGGAGAGGGTATCCCGACTTTTTCTGCAGTCCTATCAAAATCAAATGTGACCAGCCAATTCAAATTAGCGTCCCATTTTTCAGTGTTACCATGCAACGCAAATTGGGGTCAGAAGTAGGTTCTTTTATAAGAGTAATTTCACATTTGGGGAAGAACTCGTGTGTGTCTGTGCATGGACTAGATATTTCAGCCAGCCCCTTGGCCCCATTAAAGTGACGACAAGTGTAGAGCATTAAATTTCCGACTTGCAATTGTAGCGATTGCCACTCGCCACTGATGGTTGCGTATTCCATTTCAATTTCAATTGATAAGCCTCGCGCGCCGCAGTCGAAACTATTAGTCAAGTGTGCAAAAAGCAGCAACATCAGTGCTGAATGCCGGCCACGTTCTCAATTGATAATAAAAATAATAACAATAATAATCAAAATAAAGAATGAAAAAAGCGCAAACTGGGAACTGAAAACTGAAAACAAAAAGCGCAGGCAGGCGGCAAAATATGGCTCGACATGTCCAGCCAGGGGTGTGCGGTTCAAAGGGGGAAAGGGGGCTGTCGCTGGGGGGATTAAAGGAAAATGGGGCTTGGTGGCGGTGGCATAGAGGGCCACTTCAATTGCGTCGCAAATGCCAGCCGACCATCCAAAGTCGAAACTAAAAGCAGCTGGAAAAACTAAAATGTGGCTGTTCCGCTGTTCAGGCGGCAATGTGGCTGTCCGCCAATGTCCGCCTGCAACTGTTGCAACTAAAGCTTATGATGCTCCGGCCAAAATAAAAAATAAAAACGTGGAAAACTAGGAAATACAAAGTTCCCTTCGGTTGCTGCCGCTGTTTCGGTTTCATTGTGTCGTTGGTTGTAATAAAATTCAAATAAAATTCAATTGAGTTCAGCGCGAGTCGCTGGGCCAGTTTAATTTAATTAATTACAATGCCGGAGAGCGCGAGATGTGGCATGTGGCATGTGGCACATTGTACTGGCCTAGGTGGATGGCGGAGCAGATGACACCCCGTAGTTGTGAAACTGAAACCAAACAAGGAGACCATTTGCCGGTGGTTTTTGCCGCAGTTTTAGTTAGTTTAGTTTATCATTGCTCGGCTGCCCCTTCGGTTTCATTTCATTGTGCTGTATTTTTTTCTTTGTTATTGTTTCGCAAGCCGCATGCGAATGCGGAAGTATTTTTTCCAGCTCCGCACACAGATACGCAAATAAGCTGTAAGCACAAAGCTCTCGCGATTTCGAGTGTGTGCGTGTGTATCTGTGTGCGTGTCTATCGCCGCCATATTCGTTATGTTTTGATATGCCCCCTCGGAGCAGCGGGAGCGAGGGAGACGGCACTCGCACACACGTGTAATGATAACAACTCGCTCACCTTGCACGGAACCGCTCCCAAGCTCCCCCCGGCCACGCCCCCGCTGGCCGCCCCCCGCGTGACACGCGCTTTTCGCGTAATGCGACGTAATATCAAACGCCTCCCCTCCCCCCTATAAAACCCCCTCCATGCCGCCCACCCCCGCACCCGCAGCTAGTCGATATGTGATTTTCTCGCACGCGGAATTTAGGTTTTTAATGCGCTTTTTTATTATTATTAATTTGCATAGTCTAGCAAGCGAACTGATAGTTTGAGTAAACAGTTCTGTAGTGAAACCGCCGGACAAACAAGTTGTGGCTGAAAAGTATTGGCTACTGCTCGACTGATTCATACCTTTTAATGCACCCAAGCGCTTCTTAGAGGCAGCTTGGAATATCCAGCTGCAAATCATCTTTGATGGCCGAGCATCCGATCCACAACCTTTCATTAGCAGACATTTTATGGCAGCACAATTGCACTTGACAGACAAAGAACGCATAATGATACAGCAGTAAGGAAAAAAGAAAGAATTAATTATAAAAAAAGCAAAAAGAACAAATGCAAGCGAATTAAATGCGGAAAAAAGTGGTAACAAATATAATAAGCGCGTAATTATCGCGTAAATGTCAATTTACGCGGCAAATGCGTTGCGTCAGTGCTAATTTTTAACGCTCGAGTGGACGACAGACCCCATCCATATGGAACATATCCCCCCACCCCCCAAAACCCCAACAGAACCCCGCTTTTCCCGCACTCGACTAATAAAAGCGTGTAAGCGTCAATTGGCCAGGTTACTCAGTTATAGTTAACTATGTTGTTGTCGTTGTATTTTTCTCTTTTTTTGTTTTGTTTGTGTTATTGCTGCTGTTGTAATTGCAATGATTAACAACAGCAGCCGCCGCCGGGGGAGCAAAGTACCCCCCATTTGCGACGCCACCCCACCCCACCCCCTTGGTTTTCCAGCTGCACTCGCCTCTGTTGCTTATTGCAAAAACAAACAATATGGGAAAACTGGCAGCGTGCAAAGAAAAGCAAAAGAACAGCACAAAAACACACAGAGTCCAACAACAGCAGCAATAATAATATAAATAATTTTACAAACAAGTTTACCGTTGCAAAACAAAATCGCGCAAAAAATGAAGAACGAAATCAACAAAAAAATACACAACAAAATCAGAACAACAATAACAAGTTGTAAATTAATTTTCAACAAGCTCTACTTGAGCAGCAAAAACATGAAAATAAAAATTATGTCTTAAAGTCAATTAGCCAAATTGACTTGGGCTTTAACTAATGTATTAGTCATGGCTAATATCGATCTGATAGCGATATCCGATGCAAATTGGCTGAGAAGCATTTTCGCTACCCTTTGGCAGAAAAATCCAGTGACGAAGGCCGCATAAACAAAGACGTTTGCGGTGACGTCAAGAAATTAGCAATAGCAAAGGGGAAAGCGCACGACGAAAATGACAACAATATTTATAAAAAAAGGGGGCTTTGGGTGATGGCAAAACAGAATTCAAATCCAAGTTGGCCGGCAGCGGCAATTAGCCGAGACTTGAAAAATATTTACCAGTTGTTTTTCTATATTTTTTCTTTTATTCATTTATCTTTGTATTGCCTCGTCGTATTTAATTTAGCTTTGTTTTCTACGACTGCTGCTGGTAAGACTATGTACAAATATTATTATGAGCGACTGTTTGTCTTGCCCTCAAAAATACGCCGAGAGTTGAGCAGAACCGCTCGCAAAAAGAGGAAAAAAAATAATACTTAATTTCAGTACAATAAAAAGTCAAGTCGAGCGCAAAAGTGGGTCAAAATTATTATTGAAGCAGAACAAAAACAAAGCCAGCAGCAAGGCAACGATAATGGCAATGCAGCAACAAAATAACTTGTGGGGGAGTGCAGGGGGGTGGTTCAGCAGGAGGGGAGAGAACAAAATTTATAATAATTTTCTAAGCGACGGCCCCTCGACGGCAAATTATTGAAATGCATTCGCATTTCGCATTCACCCGACCAGGAGAGACACTCCAATACCAGGGAGCATATAACCTATATATACGCTGCCATGCCATAGCATACCATATGCAACCCCTCCATACCCTGTATAAGCAGGGGTATCCATTGCCCATGCACCGTTCCAATGGACGTAAACACAATTTCCCAATGTTCTGCACGAATAGTTTGTTTGATCGTAAAATTTTATTTCTGCATTCAAATCGCAGCGCTAAACAAAATGCAAAAAGAGCGAAGAACGCGGAAAGCCGAAATGCCATTGCAGTTCGTGCACAGAGAGAAAAATGCTGGAGTTCAAGTTGAAGTTTTATTATCGCAGAACTTTGTGCTACTGCCAGTTGACTGCGTCAGGAGCATCTTCGCTGTTTGTGCATTTTTGTCAGTGTAGCTCACATTTTCCGTTTGGGCCTGTCTTTACCCTTTTCCGACTGCTTATGATTTGGCCAAAGAATGAGTTTCGTGCCGCGCAGGAATCCGAATCGATGCGGTTTGGCGGAAGGGTCATGAATTGCCTCGAAAAGTGGACGTTTTCAGTTGGCCAAGTGCTGTTGTCTTGTGGTCAGTGGGTTTTGCAACTTGGCCAGATCGTAATTTGTAAAGCAAATAACGCGAATTTCATGCAGCTACCCCGAGACATTTGCTCCCTTTAATCTGGCATTCAATTTACATTTGATCTCCATTTCAACTGAATCCCCAACATTATTTATGCCCAAATGCATTAATAGGCAGTGCCAG